TCGTTCGCTCGTTCTCTCTTTTGTCTGATTTTATGTGACAAAATGCTCCTGTCTGCTTGGTTATACTTATTATTATCTAAGTCAGGAGATAGAGCATCAGTGGGGGGGAGAGATACAGAAAGAGAGGATGATAAGGAGAGAGAGAGAGAGAGAGAGAGAGAGAGAGAGAGAGAGAGAGAGAAGATAGGTGAGTGACTATCCATTTTATCATTTTCCAGAAAGGTGTAACAATATAGATAGGAAACTACTGTGTATTTATATGTATTCATGATTGAGTGCCTGTGATAAACTATACCGTATTTGTGCTTGCCACATACACAGAAAAGGAAAGCTGGGTTAATGAATGAAGCAATGAATAATTGAAAGAATCAACGTGTCGATGGATTTAGGGATGAATTGATAAATTGACACACACACACAAACAACAACAACGCTCTGACCATTCCCAAACGTGCTCCTTTTTCTTGTTTAGCACTGGTAGTAGAGTTCCTATGTTAGGGTACGAGATGACACTATTGACAGTTGTCATGTCTGTATCTTTACATATGGAGTCTGGTCCAGATCCTTAGCTTACCTGCCGCTGAATCATTATTTTTAGGTGTACATCTTTCTGTCAGCAGCTCAGCGTACCTATTCGAAGACAACTTCTCTAACAAGCGTATTAAATATGTAAATCGGTGCTCATAATCTAACAACCTATTCATTTCCCCTCAAACACGTATGGCCTACTAGCACAATAACGGCAGCAGTCAACCGATCAGCTTGTTTATATCCTCTCACACCCGTATGTCAGGCAGAAAAGAACGAACTCTTACCGTGAGCAATCTTTTCTCCAAACATGAGATCACTGGTGTCCGAGTGAGCATCGATGTGAACCAAGCACACCGGACCATATCTGTCCTGCAAAGGATACCACTTGATTAAATCTTTTGCAAATTTTACCACATGCTTAGTCATTATGCAAATTACACTAGAGGATTGAACATTGTGCAAATTATAATAAAAGATTAAACATCATGCAAATTATACCCCATGATCAAACATAATGCCTTTTTTTTTTATCACATAATTACAATCTATGATAGAAGCATGACACAGTCGCTGTATGTGGATTAGGCGTTGAGAACATGCTTCGAAATTCCAAGATAACAGGTTCATTCTCATAAAGGACGATTTGGCTAAAAGACCACTTTGTGTTAATTTTGACAACAGTATTCGCGGGGTGGTGTTCAGCGACAGTGGCAAACTATTGAACGTAACATTGATTAAATAAACAAAACAGACCCCCCCCACACACACACACACACACACAGACAGACATTCTTATACGCAATTGTATGTATATATATATACATACACACACACACTCACACATGCACGCACGCGCACCGCACAGGCATACACATACATGCACACATGCGAGCGCGTACACACACACAAGTGCTCTAGTTAGTTCCACAACGTCCTGTGAAGAATACTCAGCAAATAAAATAAAACTAGAAAGCGAACTTCAGTATTTTACTCCGAGGTTTAACGTTTTATTTTCTTAAAATGTCCTAATATTACTATTCTTATAGGTTGAAGAGGGTCTTTTTTTTCTGCTGGATTGACATCCGAACGTGAAGTCTAACTTTTAGCTACGGAAAAAACACACACAAATTATTTACTAGAAGGAAATGCCTATAACTATAAAAATGTAGACTTTACAAACACAAACAATGACCCTTTGGTACATCATGCATACATTGCAAGACGCATATCTTTATAAACAAATCCCAACTCGATGGATGATAGGGTCAACATTACGATGACACTCTTTACTTGCTAGGATAATTTCCTTGTGTATTACCAGTAGTAGTAGCAGTAGTAGTAGTAGTATTAGTAGTAGTAGTAGTAGTAGTAGTAGTAGTAGTAGTAGTAGTAGTAGTAGTAGTAGTAGTAGTAGTAGTAGTAGTAGCAGCAGTAGTAGTATTAGTAGTAGTAGTAGTAGTAGTAGTAGTAGTAGCAGTAGTAGTAGTAGTAGTAGTAGTAGTAGTAGTAGTAGTAGTAGTAGTAGTAGTAGTGGTGGTATTAGTAGTAGTAGTAGTAGCAGTAGTAGTAGTAGTAGTAGTAGTAGTAGTAGTAGTAGTAGTAGTAGTAGTAGTAGTAGTAGTAGTAGTAGTAGTAGTAGTAGAAGTAGTATTAGTAGTAGTGGTATTAGTAGTAGTAATAGTAGTAGTAGTAGTAGTAGTAGTAGTAGTAGTAGTAGTAGTAGTAGTAGAAGTAGTAGTAGTGGTATTAGTAGTAGTAGTAGTAGTAGTAGTAGTAGTAGTAGTAGTAGTGGTATTAGTAGTAGTAGTAGTAGTAGTAGTAGTAGTAGTAGTAGTAGTAGTAGTAGTACATTTTACCCCACTAGGACATCACACCAGCGATAAACACCCGATGACACAAAGTGCCACCATGTGGATGAGGATCACCCGTGGAGAGGTCCCAGAAACCGCGTTCAGCCATTAGACAATATTTATGGCCAGGCTATATTGCGGCCCCTGGCAAGAGCCAGGGTAGGGCTTTAAAGTAACGAAAAATTCCATCCCACAAAGGGATGATTGTGTATTAGCAGTTTCCGTCGAAAAGACAAACATGTTCTACACTGTAACATAGCATATGTGTTAGTTAGAAGATAAAACTAAGGAGGGTTGTGGTGAGATTGGTTAATCGCATAGTAGAATACAAAATTAAACCAGTCATGACCAAGTCTACCCAGTCTTAGGACGAGTTAGTTGAAGGCCTATGAACATTAGGCAGACTAGGGGGGGGGGGAGGGAGGAGAGATCGAGCAGCACCAACAAAACACACAACTGACCTTGATTGCCTGTAGAATGGGGTATGACAAAGTGTGGTCGCCACCAAGAGTCAAAGGGACACAACCGTCTTTAATAATAGCGCGATAAGCTTCTCTGATTTGTTTGACCGCCAGGTGTAAGTTGTAGGCATTGAAAGGCACATCTCCAATATCGGCGACTTGCAGGCTTTCAAAGGGTGCTGCACCTAGGAATGGAAATTCATTTATACGCGCCTTCTTTATAGCTATCAGCGTGTGGCTCCCCGGTAAGCGTTGTCAGGGTTTGCCATCTCCCGCTGTCAGGTAATTGCAGTTCCAGGACCGTTGTATACTACTCGTCCACATGCCGGATGCAATTTTTCTTTTATTGAAGCCCCATCCTGGCTTTTGCCGGGGGCCCTGAATATAACTGGGCCATAATTATGGCCTAACGGCTGAAACGAGTTTGTGTGACCTCTCCACGGGTTATTCTCATCCGCATGGTGGCACAACTTCAACCAAACACACTGCCACACTTCCAAAATTGGTTTTGGTTCTCAGGTCGACCCAGCATAAAATAGATACCAGGTATTATACGATGTCTTGAGTTCGCTTCGACAGTAGTAGCAAGAGCTGACCGATCAAAAACAAAAAAGGAATAGTAAACTACTGAACAGGAAATTTGCTTAGATAAGCCATAACAGCCAAAAATTATAGGGTTGGTTCTGCTACGTCCTGTAAAGGCTACGCAACTAACTATAGTAACCGTGGAAGTAAAGTCGGTCGCTGTGATGGATACATTAGCCAGCGATTGCTGACTTGTCTACAAAAACATCATGTGCTCTATTCGACTTTGGTTTACAAATTGTTTATTTCAGCATGTTTCTCGCGCTCAAACAATTGTTGTAAGCCAATCCGTCTCTCTATGTGTCATATTCATTATTTTTTTACTTGAATACGTTGTTTTGATAACATAAAACAACATTTACGTCGTCTACATAGATTGTGGGGAGTCGCTATCATGTAGTGGCTAGACGCTAGCCTCCTGATCTGAAGGTCGTGGCTTCGGATCCAAACGAATCCGGACATTTTCCAAAAATGACATAAGCCACCTTGTCGGCACAACCTTGAGTGGGTACATGATAAAGTCATCGAAGCTAAACTGGCATGTTGCTCGCCACATAAACAACCTAGTGCCGATTGGTCAATAAAATATAGGTCTAGCCCTATATGTCCTATACGTCTGAAGACGTCGAATAGGGTCACTTACTTAGTTCACATAGATCATAGAATCCCCTTGGCAATCGTGGCCTTTAGCAAGGTGCAAAAAATATATATCAATATAAAGATGTCAATTGCAGTGAGAAAATGTGTGTTCATATGTTTTGTGAAACCTGTGTTGTTATATGCATGTAAAACATGATCTAGCTGAAAAAACATTTACTAGCAGCAGAGATGTGGTTTGTGAAAAGAATGCAATGAATATCACAGAAGGATCGGGAAACAAAACCCAACAGCAGTCCTCAATGAGACAGTTGAAAGTGGTAACTTATTAGAACAATCAGATGCAGGCAGTCAATGTTCGCTGGACAGCAGTGAAGAGAAATGGACTCCAGAACTTGGTAACAACTGGCAGGATTGATGGGAAAAGAGGAAGAGCAAGACAAAGAGATAAATAAGACAAACCTGGTGGATAGGGCAAGACCCCCCCCCCCCTCCACCCCCCCAAAAAAAAACCATTCAACTGATCTGTAATTCTTGAGATCTTGTGGCGAAATATGACAGTTCGCTTATCGGCACTGCACATGATGATGACGATGATATAGAAATAGAATCATTTTCACAACCCCCCACCCCCCCCCCTCACCCCCCATATTCAATAGATTAGTTAGGAAAACACAAAACATAATTCAGCAACACAACTACAGTTAAGAACAACAATAAAAAAGCAGCAAAAAACGTTCAACGGCAACAAGGAATTAAACAGTTCACCTTAGCCGAGTGTATGTATTTTTGTGTTTGTATCACCTTAGCCGAGTGTATCTTGTGTTTGTATTACCTTAGCCCAGTGTATCGTGAGTTTGTATTACCTTAGCCGAGTGTATCTTGTGTTTGTATCAACTTAGCCGAGTGTATCTTGTGTGTGTATCACCTTAGCCGAGCGTATCGTGTGTTTGTATTACCTTAGCCAAGTGTATCTGGTGTTTGTATTACCTAAGCCGAGTGTATCTCGTGTTTGTATTACCTTAGCCGTGTGTATCTTGTGTTTGTATCACCTTAGCAGAGTGTATCGTGCGTTTGTATCACCTTAGCCGAGTGTATCTTGTGTTTGTATCACCTTAGCTGAGTGTATCTTGTGTGTGTATCACCATAGCCGAGTGTATCTTGTGTTTGTTTCACCGCTGAGACTGATGTTAAAAGGAAAAAGAATGGTGTCCCAGATCCACAGAACCTAAAATTGTGAAAAAGAAATGTTCAAGGAAGTAAATGGGTCTCGGCATCAAGCATTTATCTAGACAGCCTGTAAAATATGGATTAAACATTACACATTTGGTAACGTGGTAAAGTAACAAAAGACCTCTGGTGAATTTTGCGTTAGAAATATTTAAGCCATATCTCTAACGAGTTGAATAAGATTTTTAGTTGGTCCCTTTCTGTGTTTTCCTTGGCACGGTATGGGAATCACAGACGGGGAGTGTAACTAGCAAGACCCCAAGCAAGCCATATTTCACAGTTAGAGCGTGTGATTTCAGGACAGTAGTTTTCATAAAATGTATTTAAAATACTGGATACACGGGAATCGAACCTGGAACTTTCACATGTAAAGTTAAAGTTATGCCACTACCCACATCTAAAGTTGTTCCTCCTCTGCATAGCACAAATCCTGGGCTGTATTGTAGAGACCATGGGTTGAGCATGCATCATGACCCATCTCTGTCTGCCTTTGTTAACTCCAAAGAAAAGGTAACAGCAATAGTTTTGAAGCCTATTGAAAATAACATATAAATAACAAATACATGACTGACCAGTTGCCACGTTCACAAGTCTTAACAACACGGACTCCGTCCTTATCTGTCTGGGACCCATTCTAGTGCCGGATCGGTTTGAAGTACCCGCATCCAGAGGTACTCCGACGAAGCAAGCATTCAGTCCTGGATTTTAAAAAGCACATCTGTGTTTATCTTCGTTCAATATATA